GGGGCCCGGGGGCCCGCAGGCGGGGCCGGCGTTGGCCCCCCCTGTCGCCGTAGCCACAGGGGCCCCCGAAACAGCGGCGCGCGTGGGGACAGGGCACCTCGGAGGTCCATGCGGAGGTACGGAGTACGGAAACGCCTTTACCGCTACCGGGGGTTGCAGAGACACTTCTTTGTGCTGCGGACACTAGTGATGGCAAAGGGCAACCAACTTGTTGGCGGTAGATGTCCCTTCTGCTGTCACATTGTAGCAGCCCTGGATGGTTGAGGTTGAAAGGGACATCCCTATGCTCATCCCAGGTGCCCTGTTCCTTTTTCCCCTTTCTGGATACCTCCTTCTTCTGCCTGAGTTTTGCTAGGAGCTCCTTGCCCATCCATACAGGCCTCCTGTCCTCTCTGCCTGACTTGTTACTCATAGGGAGGCACCAATCTTGAGTTTGAAAAAAGCAATCCTTGAATGTTAACAAGCTCTCTTGGACCCCCCTTCCTTCTAGGGCCCTAGTCCATGGGATTCCTCCAAGTAGGTCCCAGAAGAGGCCAAAGTTTGCCCACCTTAAACCCAGGGTTGTGATCCCACTTACCATCCTGCTACCTCAGTCCTGAACTCCACCATCTCATGGGCTCTGCAACCCAAAACACACCCCCAACCTTCACACCTCCCACACAGCTCCTCTTTATTAATTAGCACCAGGTTCAGCCCCTCTCCTCACTGGCTCCTCCACCACCTGTGTCAAGAAGTTACCATGGGACTGCTTGTGCCCAGCTGGGTTGCCTTTCCATCAGATATCAGGGTGGTAGAAGAATGAGGGCTTGTGATCGTGAGGCTACTTCCAGCTGTCTGTGGAAGGCCTCATCAACTTCCTTGTCCTGATCAGGGTTGGGGCTCACCAAGTGGAACTGTGTTAGCCTGCCCGCTAGTCCCTGCCCGCAAGCTCTCGACTGGCTCTTTGTGCACCCCGAGCAGAGCTCAGCACGTTCCAGCTGCTCTCCCACGTGAAGACCAACTCTTCTGTACTCTCCTAAACTCTCTGTCTCTCCTGTAAAGCATGCAGCCTTCCATGACATCACTGCAGTCACACAATCTATCCCACCACATCTCTCTAACTGCAATGAGATCAAGGCTGCGCGACCGCACACACCTCTAATTCTTCCTGTTTATTGCCCACACTGCATGCATCGGGTGTGCAGGCATTTCTGGGAGGTCAGCAAGCATGCAAGGTTCTCCAGCAGGGTGCAAGAGGACCCTCCATAGTCATGTCCTGTATGCTTTTCTCTAGGTGCAGGCACCCATGGGAGATAAGGAGAAAGCTTCCAAACCCTTGGGCTTCCAAACCCTTGGCCATAACCCCAGAGCTCTGAAAATCCTGCTGGGTGGTTCAGATTGCCCTTAGCATCATTAGCACTCATGTGGAGGAGCAGTAAGGCAATAGCCCAACGCATGGCTAAGTCTTCCCTCACCTACTTCTCCACTGCAAGGCTTCAAGAGGAGTAAAAGCCTTCCTCCTCCTGTGAGAAGTGACCACTTTCCAGCCTCCTTCTACAGTGATGACGATGGGCCGTACACAGGACTCTGCAGCTGGGGGTATTGGGTGCCCTGGAGCTGCTCAGTCCTCAAGAACGCCCTGTCTATCTCCTGCTCATCTGCTCGGGTGCTACGTGCTCTGATGACTCACCTAGGTACCCTTTTGAACCAAGCGGGTGCTTGCACAGCCTGGATGCTCGCCCAGCCCGGATGCTCACCCCAGCCTGGGCGAGAAGAGGGCAGAGACGTCCAAGGCAGAAACCAGATGGTGAGGAAGGGCCGTGTGGCGGGCAGTAATACAGGCTTTCCTGCAGCCCGCTCAGCTTCCCCTTCTCCCGCTTCCCGAAGGGAGAAAACTGAAATAAATCCCCCCTTGTTGCATATTTTCTTATCTTACCAGCAAACACGGGGTCTCCCTCCACTCCCTCCAGCCTTTAAGACACAGGTAGTTCCGAGGAAGCCCTTGCCCGCTCGCCAGGGCCACGGAGCGCTGCGTCCTGGCTCCCGGGTGCCTCCGGAGTGGCAGGCAGCTGAGACTCAGTGGCAGAAAAGGAAGTGTTCGTATGCAGATGAGCTGATTAAATCTACAGCCCTTTTATGTTCCCTTTTGCTCAGTCCTTTTTTTTTTTTTTTCATAAACTCCACAGTGACCCGGGGTAGCAGCTTGGAGCAACGTGCGGAGCCTATAGGGCACCTATAGGGGGTTTTAGCCACCACTCGGAAATCACTGGGGACCACAGGCCATGCCAGGAGAGCTGGTGCAAGAGGAGCTGCAGGGACAGCTGCGTGTGGCAGTGATCTGCCGAAACGGCCCCTTTCCATGCGCCGGATCGAGGTCTGGTTGCGCAGGGTCTGGCGGATTGCAGTGCCCGTCCCAGGGTGTCCAGGCACAACCGCTGGGCTATTCCCTTATTTCCCTCCTCCGTGGCTTAGGGAGGGAGCAAGAATGGGCTGGGACCTGCAATGCAGAAGGTTTTACCCCAGGGTGAACCTGCTCCGCGCTCCGGCTTTGCAACCCAAGCACAGGAGGATGCCCAACAGCTGGCACCAAAGCCTGGGGTTTTTGCCTAAACAGCTTGAATTTCTGTGTCCAAGACAACTTTTGACACAAAGTGCCCTTTCGCTTTTCCTTCCTTTAAATAAACACCTTCCAGCTATTCTTCCAGCTGCAATGGGGAAGTTCGTGTCCAATCGCAGCACGAGCTTCTTTCCACCTGGTGTTGCTTCTCCCACTCCTTCACACTGGGTAGAAACTAAAAGGCACTGAGTTTCGGGACCTGTTTTTGCCATCTCTCCTGTGCATGGGCTGCCGGACCCGCCATGGTGTCAGGACAGGGGGAAATTTCTATTTTCAAGACTAACCACACAAATATGAATGTGGGAGAGCAATCCGTTCCCCATCTTTTTTTTTTTTTTTTCTCCCAACTGTTTTTCCAACGGAAAAACACAGGGCTGGGGTTAGTGACGCTCTGGTGGGGACACAAGTGCTTTGGGTCGGTTGCGTTGGGGCCGATTTGGTCAAAAGCCGCCCAAAAGAAGGGAAAACTCCCCAGGCAAGGGTCTCATCAGGAAAGGAATCCCCGTCCCTCCGGGGGGATTCTCTGATGTCTAATACAGGGTTGCAGCCGAGACTGCCCTTGTGCCCTGCAGCACCCTCGGCTGCGAGCAGCCCCGTGCCCA